CTTCTACGTCTACTTCGACTACTACAATTACTACTACTATCATTATTACTACTACTAGTACTACTACGACTACTGCTACGATGACTACTACTACTACTACTACTACTACTACTACTTTCACTTCGGCTTCTACGTCTACTACGACTACTACTATTACTACTACTACTACTACTACTACTACTACTACTACTACTACTACTACTACTACTACTACTACTACTACTACTACTACTACTACTACTACTACTACTACTACTACTACTACTACTACTACTACTACTACTACTACTACTACTACTACTACTACTACTACTACTACTACTACTACTACTACTACTACTACTACTACTACTACTACTACTACTACTACTATTGCTACTACGAATACGACGACGACGGCTACTACTACTACTACCACCACTACTACTACTACTACTACTACTACTACTACTACTACTATTACTACTACTACTACTACTACTACTACTACGACTGCTGCTACGACTGCTACTACGACTATTACTACTACTACTGCTACTATTATGATTACTGCTACTACTACTACTACAACTACTAGTACTACTACTATTACGACCTACGACGACGACGACGACGACGACTACTACTACTACTACTACTACGGCGACTACTACTACTACTTCTACTTTTACTTCGTCTTCTACGTCTACTTCGACTATCACGATTACTACTACTATCATTCTTACTATTACTCTCACGACTACTACTACGACTATTATTACTATACTACTACGACTACGACGACTACTACTACTACTTTTACTTCGACTTCTACGTTCACTTCGACTACTACTATTACTACTACGATTGCTGTTAAAACTACTACTAGTACGGCTACTACCACGACTACTACTACTACTACTACTACTACGACTACTACTACGACTACTGTTACTGTTACTACTACTACTACTACTACTACTACTACTACTACTACTACTACTACTACTTCTATTACCATTAGTACGACTACGACTACTACTACTACTACTTTCACTTCAACTTCCACGTCTACTTCGACTACTACTATTAGTATTACTATTTTTATTACTACTACTACAACTACTATTACGACTACTATTACTACTACTACTACTACTACTACTACTACTACTACTATCACTACTATTACTACTACTACTACTACTACTATTACTACTACTACTACTACTACTACTACTACTACTACGACTACGACTACGACGACGACGACTACTACTACTACTACTACTACTACTGTTACTACTAACTACTACTATACTATTACTACTACTACTACTACTACTACTACTACTACTACTACTACTACTACTACTACTACCACTACTACTACTACCACCACCACCACCACCACTACTACTACTACTACTACTACTACTATTACTACTACTACTACTACTACTACTACTACTACTACTACTACTACTACTACTACTACTACTACTACTACTACTACTACTACCCCCCCGCCCCTGGAGGCAGAGGTCCGTCCGCCCTTGCCCGTCTCCATCTGCGGTCGCTCCGAGGCCTGTGGTGCCTGCGGGGGCCCCCCCCGGACCAGGCCTTGTGGTTGCTGATGCCGAGAAGAACGCAGCGGCCGTGGCCTCGTGGTTGCCTTGGTATCGCTCGGACGTGTGTGTTTGTTTGGGGGGGGGCGAGGACCCTCAAGGAACACCGTGGATCATCTTCCGAACCATGCACGCGCGACATCGAACAAGGCACGGGGAATGGACGTCCGAGCGATGCCGAGTTGCTGGCGTCGAGGGAAAGCTCTGCCGGCTGCTCAGGCTGCCGACTCCCAGACATCCGATGTTGCAAAACACACGCAGCATCGCAAAATATCACGAACGGAGCCCCGGACCCCATCCTCCTGCGACATTTCTCGGGCCGGATCGGTCTGTGAGGGTCTTGGGGTCCGAAACCGACCGGAAACGCCCGCTGTGAAAATGGCAGCGCCAGAATCCCGGGGCTCGCCGCGCCGAGCTGCCCTCCTCCGCCGGCCGCGCCTCTGGGCGCCCTAGGCCGCCGCGGCCGCCGCCCCTTCGGCCCCTCGGCTTAGTCAGGAGGGAGAAGAACACACAGACACAACGAATCGTCGATTTCCCAGAAAATATGGGAAAACATGGGAAGTGGGGGGAAGACAAAAACCCAGAAAATATTGGAGAATATGGGAAATCCTGTTATTTGTGTATATTTATTTGTGTGTCCCAGGGCATTTTCACTTGGGTTGGGCATGTCTTCTTACAGACGGCTTCTCGAGGAAAAGCAAGACATAGCCAGAGCAGCTCCAAAAAGAATCGAGCAAAGTGGAACCATCGACCCCAGACCCCTTTTTTACTCTTCCTTGCCATCCTCGAATGTGCGCCTCCTGCAGAGGGACAAAGCCCGACTTCAGCCCTCGGCCCTGCCAGCCCGCCGCCCCCCCCCCCCCGCCTGCGGCAGCGCCCCCCCCCCGCGGGAGGCCCCCGCCGCGGCGGGCCGAGGCCCGCGGGGCCGGCGCGGCGGCCAGCCCTCTCGGACGCGGCCGCCCCTGCCCCCCCCCCCTCGCCCTTCTTGAGCGTGCTCTTTTTTGCTTGGGGCATCATGGGCACTGCAGCCCCCGGGTCCCCCTCCCCCCCCCCCATAACGCAGCGCCCCTCCCCCCCCCCCAGTGCGCTCCGGGCACTGCCGCCGTCCGCACGGCTCGCCAGGCCTTGGAAGCGGCAGAAAGCGATGCAGAGTGAAAGACTGGTCTCGGGGAATCGGTCGAGACTTCCGGGGACCACGTACTGGAACGAAAGTCACGACATCGGATCTCTGGGGACGTTTGCATATTTTGCCTTGGCGAGGAGCATCTTGTCAAGCAGTGGCGAAGCGTCCCGGCTTCTGGCCGGTGCTCAAGCGGATTGGAAACACCGCGCCGGTTCTTGTAGCTGGGGGCCCAGCGGGAGCCAAGCGGTGACGGGCCGCCCAGGTGGCAATGCGACCTAGCGCATCCTCCTCCACTCCTTCTTCTCCTATCCCGTGCCCTCCTCGTCGTGGATGGGGCCGACGAATGGTCTTGCGCTGTCCGTGAGGACGCACCTTTTTCTAGTGCAGCCTGTGACCGGGGTGAGTCTTGTTGGTCCACAGGCACTGCCCCGGTCACGGGCTGCAGCGGCGTTGGGTATTTTCCGGAACCTCGAGGTTCCGAGCCTGGTGCCACACATAAGTTTTTACATATAATATATCATACGCGCGTCTTTATTGCGGTCCGCAGCCGTGTTCTGAGATGTGTGTATATGTGTAAACATGTGCGTATAATACATACATCACGATTGGTGTGAAGATTGTTGCTCTAGGGGACCCTTCAGGAAGTCCTCTTGGAGCCTTCTTGGGGCGTCTTGGAGGCCTCTGGAACCGTCTTGAAGCCATGCTGGGCGTTTTGGAGCGATCTGAGGCTGTCTGGGGAGCCTCTTGGATTGTCTTGGGGTCGGAAGGAAGAAACCAAAGGGGCGACAGCCTCTCCAACTGGGGGGTGTGCTCCCCCCCCAGGAGCCTTAATATCCCCGGGGCCCGCCTCTGGGATCCCCCCTTTCGAATCAACGACGCCAATGTTGGATGCCTTTTGAGCTGACGTGCCCGAGGAGGAGAGGTGACCACAGAGGGGAGGGGAAAGAAAGTGAAAACCACGGAAACGCGAACCCACGGACACGCGAAGCCGTCTTCCCCTCACGCACGCCGACAGGGTCGGCGGATTTTAACTGCACTTTATTGTTGGTGTCAGGGATCGGTCAGGGTCTTGCAGGGCGCACTCGTTTCAAGGGGCGCGGGGATGCCAGGGCATCGCCCTGCAGCGCTCAAGCGCCCACACTGGCACGCACGCGCGCGACTCAATGCGCGAATGGAATTCCAGACGCACGCGAGCTCAGGAGGACACTGAAATACAGGAAACAGAAAATTATAGCCAGAGCGCAGTCTCCCCAAACAGCGTTTTCAGAGCCAGGGTGGATCCTGAGTTTGTTCGCGCGTCCTGCAGTTATCGTCCTCCTGCTCCTGATATCGGCACGCCCCGTCGTCATCGTCGTCTACGTGCTCCTCTTGGGAAATATCATTCTCGCCTCTCCCGCCTGCCTTCCCACTCCACCTCTTTCCCCCCCTTCTAGTCACATTCCTCCTCCTACCTTCCTTTCCTTCCTCGTCGTTATCCCCCTCATATTCCTGATGCCCTGCCTCCGCCTCCTCCCATACATCCTCGCCCCACTTCACATTATCTTCATCCTCCTGGTTCTCTTTCTCTTCTGCCTCATCGTCGTCACCGCGGTGTTGCGTTGGGCGCCGCTGTGCGATGCCATGTTTTGCGTTGCAATGCTTTGTGATGCAATGGTTCACTACGCAATGCCACACCATGCTATGACATGCGAATTACGCTCTGCCGTGCTCCTCTACGCTATGCTATGCCGTGCTCTACCATGCATCGCGTGCCCCCCTCCGCCTCCAGGCCTTGGAAGGCCGAGGCGACGACGACAACGACGACGACAATCACGCAATCACGCAATCACGACGACGACCACGACGACGACGACAACGACGACGACGACGAGCAGCAGCAGCGGCAGGTGGACGGGCGGGGAGCCGCCGGGGAAGCGGGTCGTTCAGGCAGGGCCGACGCGCCCCCGACGGAGCCCACGCCCGCGGAGGGGCGCGCCGCAGGGTGCCCCGTTCAGCACCCCGTTCAGCACCCCGCTGGGCGAGACTGGGGGCCGGCCCACCTCGCGATCGGCAGCTTGGAGCCCGGAGTTGCGAGGACGTCCCAGGCGGAACGGCCTGGACGACCTCTCGCGCGGCAGCTCGGAGCCCAGAGTTTCGAGGATGTCTCAGGCGAAACGGGCCAGACCACCTCGCGCGCGGCAGCTCGGAGCTCAGATGCACGAGGACGTTTCATGCGAGACGCCTAATCCCGGACAACTCAGAAACGAGATTTGTGAGGATGTCTCAGGCGAAACGGCCCGAACCACCAGATTTTGCTGAGGACGTCTTTGCTTTGAACCCCCTCGGCCGGAGTCAGCTTCTACCACAACGGCACCCCGTTCAGCAAGCTGTTTGGGGAACGAACGGGAGCAGCAGCAGCGGAAAGAGCAGGGGGAGGGGGAGCAGCAGCAGCAGCAGCAGCAACAGCAGCAACAGCAGAAGGAGCAGGAACAGGTAGAGAGGAGAGTGGATAAGAAGGCTGAGGACGAGGACGATGAGTACGAGTACAAGGACGAGGATGAGGACGAGAGCGAGTACGGAGCGAGGCAAATAAGAGCGATAGCGAACAGGAAAGAAACGGAAAGAAACAGAAGGCGGGAGAGGGGGGAGGGAGAAGGAAGGTTCCCCCAGCTGTCCCCGGAGGGGGGGGAATCCCCCCCCCCCGGGGGCACTCCGGACGTGTCTGGAGTGTCCTACACCTTGAAGACACGATGATCGGGAATGTCCTACGGAAGCCCCCAGCTCCAAGGACACCGCCCTCCCCCCACGACGGGCCCCCAAGGACACTCCGGACCTGTCTGGAGTGTCCCCCGGGGGGGGGGATTCCCCCCCCCCTGGGGGACAGTCAGAGGAGGCCTCAGAGCGCACCGCCGCAAGCAGTCATAGTATCACATCACCTCCCTTCATCCTCAACTCCCCCTTCCCCTTCCGACTATCCATCCTCGTCTGCCTCGTACTCGGACTCATCGTCCTCGTCCTCAGCCTTCTTATCCCTTCCCTCTACTTTTTCCTGCTCCTTCTGCTGCGGCTGCTGCTGCCCCCCCTCCTCCTGCTCCTTCTACTGCTGCTGCTGCTGCTCCCGTTTGTTTTTTGGTTTCCTGTATTTCAGTGCCCCCCCTGAGCTCCCAGGCGTCTGGAATTCCATTCGCGTATTGATGCGCGCGCGTGCCAGCGTGGGCGCATTGATGCGCGCGCGAGCGTGCAGGGCGCTGCCCTGGCATCCCCGCTCCCCTTGAAACGAATGCGCCCCGCAAGACTCTGACCGATCCCTGACACCAATAGTAAATTGCAGTTAAAATCCGCCCACCCTGTCGGCGTGCGCGAGAGGAAGACGGTTCCGCGTGTCCGCGGATTCGCGTTTCTGCGGCTTTCACTTTCTTCCCCCTCCCCTCTGCGGTCACCTTTCCTCCTCGGGCACGTCAGCTCAATGATAGCTAGAGTGCACTATCCCCAAACAGCGTTTTTAGAGCCAGGGTGGATCCGGAGTCTGTTCGCGCGTCCTGCAGTTATCGTCCTCCTGCTCTTGATCGGCATGCCCCGTCGCCATCGTCGTCTACGTGCCCCTCTGGGGAAATATCATTCTCGTCTCTCCCGCCTGCCTTCCCACTCCACCTCTTTCTCCCCCTTCTAGTCACATTCGTCCTCCTGCCCTCCTTTCCTTCCTCCTCATCGTTATCCTCCTCATATTCCTGATGCCCTGCCTCCGCCTCCCCCTATACATCCTCGCCCCACTTCGCATTATCCTCCTCATCCTCCTGGTTCTCTTTCTCTTCTGCCTCATCGTCGTCACCGCGGTGTTGCGTTGGGTGCCGCTGTGCGATGCCACGTTTTGCGTTGCAATGCTTTGTGATGCAATGCTTCACTACGCAATGCCACGCCATGCTACGATATGCTAATTACGCTCTGCCTTGCCCCTCTACGCCGTGCTATGCCGTGCTCTACCATGCATCGCGCACCCTCCTCCGCCTCCAGGCCTTGGAAGGCCGAGGCGACGACGACAACGACGACGACAATCACGCAATCACGCAATCACGACGACGACGACAACGACGACGACGACGACGACGACGAGCAGCAGCAGCACCAGGAGGAGGACGGGCGGGGAGCCGCCGGGAAGGCGGGTCGCTCAGGCAGGGCCCGCGCGCCCCCGACGGAGCCCGCGCCCGCGGCGGGGCGCGCCGCGGGGCGCCCCGTTCAGCGCCCCGTTCAGCACCCCGCTGGGCGAGACTGGGGGCCGGCTCACCTCGCGATCGGCAGCTTGGAGCCCAGAGTTGCGAGGGCGTCTCAGGCGAAACGGCCCAGACGACCTCTCGCGCGGCAGCTCGGAGCCCAGAGTTTCGAGGATGTCTCAGGCGAAACGGGCCGGACCGCCTCTCGCGCGGCAGTTCGGAGCTCAGATTCAGGAGGGTGTCTCAGGCGAAACGCCCAATCCCGGACAACTCACAAACGAGAGTTGTCAGGATGTCTCCGGCGAAACGGCCCGAACCACCAGATTTTGTTGAGGACGCCTCTGCTTTGAATTCCCTCGGCCGGAGTTAGCTTGTACCACAACAGCACCCCGTTCAGCACGCTGTTCGGGGAAAAAGTATCCAGCACTGGCGTCGTTGATTCGAAATGGGGGGTCCCAGGGGCGGGTCCCCAGGGGGGGTTAAGGGGGGGCTCCCAGCGGGGGGCGCCCCCACACTGGGAGAAGCTCTCGTCCATTTGACTCTTTCCTTCCAGCCCCAAGACAAGAGGCTCCCCAGACAGCTTCAAATCGTTCCAAAACGCTCAATCTGGCTTCAAGACGGTTCCAGGCCTCCAAGACGCCCCAAGAAGGCTCCAAGAGGACTTCCTGGAGGGTCCCCTACAGCAGCAATCTTCAAAATCCTGCATGATATATGTGTGCGCCAATCGTGATGTATGTATACACGTGTTTACACATATACGCACATTTCAGAACACAGCTGCGACCCGCAATAAGGACGCGCGTGTGATATGTCATATGTAAAATTACGTGCGTCGCCAGGCTCGGAACCTCGAAGTTCCGAAAACGGGCCCAGCGCCGTTGCAGCCTGCGGGCACGGTAATTCTTGGGGACCAACAAGAATTACCCCGGCCGCAGGCTGCATTAGAAACAAGTGCTTCCTCACAAACAGCGCAAGACCATTCGTCGGGCCCATCCACAACGAGAAGGGCACGGGATGGGAGAAGGAGGAGTGGAGGAGGATGCGCCAGGTCGCGCTGCCACTTGGGCCCCGACACGGCCTGGCTCCCGCTGGGCCCTCAGCTATAAGAACCGGCGCGGTGTTTCCAATCCGCTTGAGCACCGGCCAGGCTTGCCGAGAGGCCCACCAGGCAGCAATGTTCTAAGAACTTGTTGCGTTTTCTGCGAAATGTTCTTAGAACAGCGCTGGCCAACTTGAGACTGTCTTGTTTTGACCCATCGGTCTTATGTTCTAAGAACATTGCTTTTGCAATTCGAGCATTTTTGGGTTCTAAGAACATGTCGTGGTAGGCCTATAGTAAGGCCAGGACGATCGGTCCCTGCTCAATACTCGATCATCTAGCGAAAACAAGCAACTGCAAGTTTTTCACCACGGGTGGTTTCGCTGGATTTCGGGCCCCGGGGCCCTCGCAGACCGATCCGGCGCGAGAAGGCGAAAAGGGGTCCGGGGCTCCGGTCGTGATTTGCTTTTGCGATGTTGAAGTGCTTTGCCACGTCGGATCTCGGGTGGGTCATCTTGCGAAGAGAGCATGTTTTGTGTGCACGACGGGCGTTTTTGCTCGATTTCGGGCCCCGGGGATCCTTCTCGAGAGACGGCGCAGGGCTCCGGTCGTGATGTTTGTTTTGCGATGCTGCATTTTTGTTTACAGCGTCTGATGTCAAGGTTGCACGGCCGAAGCGGGTACGGAAATTCCAGGGCCGAAGACGGACAGCTGTTTTTGTCCGCCTTGATAAGGATTCGCTGCCGGTGTCGCCACGGAAGGTGTCCGTTTGAGACAACAGGGAGGCTGGAAAGATTGTCTGGGGCCGGTTTTTCTATTCTTTTCTTTTCAGCTTTTGCCAATTCTCAATGCGTGCCCCGCCTTTACTGCGAAATATCCGTGCCAACCGAACAGCTTTTCTTTGCTATTTCCAACGCAATGCCTCGCCGTCCGCCCTGCTTGGTCACATGTTGTCGCGCAAAGTACGTGGGCAATTTTTGCGACGATGGCTTTCGACGATCGACGGAATAAATGGTGTGCGCTCTTTGTTTTTCCGGCGGGTGCCTCAATGTATTTTAATGCGTTGGTCCTGGATCGGATCGCGCGGCGTCGCTTGAAGAAGTGAAAAAGGCGCCCCGTGGAAAAAACTAAGAGGGGCGAAGTGCAGGAGAGACCCGGAGAGGAACGCATTGGTAGTCGTAAGCTGTCCCGAGGCCGCAGCGCGTGATATCATACGTTTTTTGGCTCGAGATGATGCCATGCATGGCGCGTTTTTCCGCGAGCTCGATTTGGCCATGACGCTCCACTCGGGATTCCGCGCGGTTCCGTTGGATTCCGCGCGATTCCGAGCGATCCCTTTGGATTCGTCAGGAGTCCGCGCGGTCTGTCGGGCTGCCTCAGGCCTCTTCAGGATTCTTTGCGCGTCTTTAGGTTTCCTAGGTATTCTTCAGGGTTCCTACTGGTTGCGCCTCAGGATTCCTTAGTATTTTTGAGGGTTCAAATTCATTACGAATCCGAATTGTTCCTAAGGGTTCCTGGGTCATCCACAGGATTCCATGGGGTTCCACGGGGTCCCAGAGCACGCCTCAGGGCTCGGAAATTTGCTGCTGTTCTACGAAGTTTTAAGATTACGCGTGCACGCATGTGCCGCGCGGCCGCGGACGTTTTCGCCGCGTCGGGCGCGGAAACCATGCTCGCAAGAGGTAGTTGGCGGTCGGTGGCTCCAGCCAGGCCGCACGTGTCAGGCGACGAGGTGGCCGCCGGCCTGCTGGCGCAGGGCGTCGTCGACGATTCTGGCCCTGAAAATTAAGCACCGCTGTGCCCCGCTCCTGTGCCGCTCCCCCTTTTCTCCCTCATTGGCGTTAGGGCCGGGAGCGGCCTCGAAGCTTTGGTGCTTCGCCAAGGAAAAAGAGGAGGGAAGGGAGCGGGAACTAACTCGGATTCACGTACACGAAGCAATGTTAGACTCCCCGCTGCCACTCCTCGTGTCTCTTGCGCGCGCGCCGCCTGCCTGCCGCTGTTTTGGGCTCAAGGGCGGGACCGCTTGTCCCGCCCGCCCACGCTTTTCTTTTTCTGTCCCTGTTTCGGCGGCGCCGCTGCGCCTGCCTCTGTGTTGGGGCCTGGAGCGGCTTCGAAGCCTTGGTGCCTCGCCAATGAAAAAGAGGAGGGAAGGGAAGGGAGCGGGAGCTAACAGGCAAACCGATCGAGACATCCTCAACATCTGGCCCCCCTCGGGGGCGAAAGTGAGCGCCTCGCTCGAGACATCCTCCAAATCTGCTCCGAAAGTGGAGGATGTCGGGGACCAAAACAGGCAAACCGCCCGAGACATCCCCGCCATTTGGGCGCGAACGGAGGCCGTGAGATACCCTTGGCGGCCCCCCCATTAGGAGGCGGCTCGCATGAGACATCTTCAAAATCCTGATCCGAAAGCGAAAGATGTTGGGGACCCAAACAGGCAAACCGCTTGAGGTATCCCCGCCATATTGGCGCGAACGGAGGCCGTGAGATACCCCTTGGTGCCCCGCCTAAGGAGTGCTAAAACCAGCAAGCCTTTCGAGACATCCTCATCATCTGCTCATCGTCATCATCGTATTCATCATCACCATCATCATCATCATCATCATCACCATACTCGTCCACCATTCATCATCACCGCCATACTCACATCATATTTTCTCCATATCATGGTCATCATGACACTCATCATCATCATCGTCTAGTGCAGAGAGGGAGGAGGGGATGGTATGGGTGGTCCGGCGCGGTCGGAGAATAACAGAAACCCCATCCTTTGGATATGGGGAACAAGAACCCCATCATTTGGAAATGGGGAACTAACTCGCGGACGAGTGCAAGGCAATGAGCAGGTCTCTTGACCCCTTGCGAAAGATAGGCTCCAAGAACTCACCTCGCCAGCCGCGCGCAGTCGCGTTTGCTACGCAAGTTGGGGCGACCTTGCGGACACAGCCGATGATTCGAACGAACTTGCGACGACGACCGCCAAGAAAAATAATCAAAGATTTTAATCAGTAGGCTGTAGAACGCGGCAAGGTCTGCAAACGACGTCGCCGCTCCCACCCCCATTTTTCCAGCGCTGGCCGCGGTCAGTTTTTTCCGGCGCGCGCCCGAGGGCATTTTGCCAACTGGTGTTTTCAGGGCTTGGTTTTGCCAGTTATTCCATCGCGTGCCTTTGGAAATTTAGCTGGCGGCCGTGCTTTCAGCGCGGCCTGTCGTAATTGTTCCTTCGCTGGCACACGGTTTTTGTGGTTCACACAACGGCATGCTGCTTCTCCTTCTCCGAGCACCCACCATCCAGGGTTCGAGCCAAAAGCGCAGTGTTCTCTTTTATCCGTGCTTGTTTTGCGCTCGCTCTCCCTCGTGCTGTCGTCGATCCCGAGGGGCAGCGACAAGGGGGGGTCTGGCACAGGGGGGTTAACATCGACGTGGAACCGGTGATGCATCGCCGATCGATCAGCGACAGGCCCCCGATAGCACATCCCCACGCTCGTGGGCGGGGAGGAGCAATCAGCTGTTCGCTGATGGGCGTCAGCGGCGCGCGACGGAGTTATTTTCAATTGCGGCATTCTTGCTGTTCCCTCCCGCGGCCCGTCCATCTTTTCGAACGGCTGCCTCGCTGCCACAATTTTGGTCTTTCCTACCAAATTCCTTGGCAATATCTGATTTTACCTAATCAACAATGGTTTTGTATGTGAATTTCCGAATTCTATTTTTGCCAGCCTCCCTGAATATATCGCCGCTACCCAGCAGCGGCCGATGTCGGATTTGGACCGCATTTGCCGTGGGCATGGTACCCGTCTTTTCCTGCCCATCTCGGGCGTGCCAAGCCCCCAGGGAGCAACGGTCCTTGACCTCGGCGCCGCGAAGATGTCACGACGGCACGTTTTTGTTTATATGTTCAGCCTCAAGGGGGCCCTCGCCGGGCCGCAGGGCCGCCAAGGAGCGGCGCGGGATGATGACTCAGATGCGGGGAGGGCGTGAGGACCTCCATGGGTCCACGCTGCGGACCACTAGCCGCCGCGCTGAAACACCTCTTTCCCTCGTGTCGTCCCCCCCCCGGAGGAGGAGAAGGTACAATCGAAGTCGATCAGTCGGCCGACCCTGCCTAGTCAATTGTGCCATTGTGTCTTGTGTTCCGCGATCAAGATGTCAGAGGAGGAAAAGGTATCCATACCTCTACCCTCCACTTGTTTTCCACTTTTGGGCCTCCTGGGCCTCCGTCGTCGCAGCCGCTGGATTCGCTTCGATACCCCGGTCAGACCGCGCCCCAGGAGAGGTCCAGGGAGTGGCGGTATCGGCACCTCCTGGTTTCCCCACCCTGCCGCCTACACTCCGGCGGCAGTGTGGCCCTCGGAGGGGTCTGGTGTCCTCTCGCGTGCCCTCTCCCAGCCGGCCCCGACTGCAGGGCCTGCCCCGCCCTCGCCCGGCCCCGGCCCCTGCGCGCGAGGACCTCGCAGTGCGCGCCGCTCCCCGCGGGAGGTTCGGACTGACGCCGCTCTGGCGGAGGACGGCTTCGGGGGATCTCGGAGGGTCTCGGAGGACATCCAGGCGATCGCAGACATGGGTCAAGGGGGCGTGGATGGGCGACGGGTCCCGTTTCCACGGGAAGTCGCGGAGTTCCGCCGCCGAGCGAGGCGACGCCGGCCGGAGTTTGGGGAGGGCACCTCCCCCCATCCATGGATTTGGCGGCCGCGCGCCAAATCCATGGATCGCAAATCCATGTTTGCGCGCCCCCGAATGTGGGAAGGCTGCGGCTGGAAGATTTTGACGGCGGAACGGCGCAAGACAACGGGGTCGCCTTCGCCGACATTGGTGCGTAAGCTGCCCGCGTAAATTCGCGCATCAGCGCCCTCTTCTCCAGGGTGGCGTGCCGCGCCGGCGGCCCGCGTGAGCCACCGCGTAAGGTCGCTATACCATCTCGCGTAAGATCCGTTTTTGATCGTCGCTCAGTTGTCGGAGGGGCTTCGACGGATTCGGGGGGAACTCTGGTATTGTAGAGCCGTTTCAGAGGGCTCCGATGAGCTCCCGATGTTGCCTGGAAATTAGATATGTGTGTGGCTTTCCAGTTCTTGGTAGCGTGGCAGGGATTCTCCCAGAGAAATTTAGACATTGATTCCAGACCCCTCCAGCGTCCTAAAAATTGCCCGGTGCGACGCCGATTCGGATCCGCCTTCTGATTAAATTCGCAGGCCCAACGGGCCAGAGGCGTGCTAAGATCTCCGGTAATAGGTTTACAGTGTTTCCAGTTGGTACGCGCGTGGGGCCCCCAAAGACGGCCCAAGATGCCCCCAAGACGGCTCCAAGAGGGAACCCAGACTGGGGACCCGAACGGACATGTCGAGGCCCCAAGATGCCCCCAAGAGGCTCCAAGAGGCCCCCTAGAGGCCCCCAGGAAGCCCCAAGAGGCTCCGAACACGCTCCCAAGAGGCTCCCAAACTGTCCCTCAGACGTCCCCGAGAGCGCTCCGAAGAGACCCGAAGAAGCATCCCTGAGGACTCTTTCCCACAGCCCAGGCACGGCGGTGGGACAGTAGAGGCCAGAACCCCCACGGTAAGCTCCAAAGCAACTATTTCGCCTTTACGCTTGCTGTCGCAACGCCTCCAGAAACATGATCAACCCACGAACCCGGAAAGGAACAGAAATGTGAGGCGTGGCAACGTTTCAAAGACGCCTGATTGGGCGACGGGCAATTGCAATGCTGAGTGTATCGATCTTGACGTACCGTGCCGACGATTGTGCTGTGCTGCGCCGTGCTGAATTGCGATGTGCCATGCCGCGATTGTGTTCTATACCGTTGTGGATCGAGTCCTCCTCTGCATCCGAATCCTGACCGAACTGATCTGGATCTTGAGCTCGAGCTGCCTGAGCACATAGTAGCTGCCCCAGAGCTAATTGACAGGGGGACATGCCAGGAGGACGCGGCACCGTGGGACGTGCCAAGGGGACGCGCTACGGGACGTGCCAGGGGACGCGCCGCGCCAGGGGGACTCGCCACGGGACGCGCCACGGAACGTGCCAGGGAACGTGCCAGGTTGCAATGCTGAGTGTATCGATCTTGATCTGGACGCGTGAAAACAAGCGTTTCGTTCAAGCCGTTCTCAACATACCCTCATGCTAGACATCCGCCTGGGCAACCTGGACACGTGCAAACATGCATCTCGATCGAGACTTCCTCAACAGATCCTCATGCTAGACATCCGCCTGGGCGACCTGGACGTGACAACAAGCATCTCGCTCGAGACATCCTCAACAAATCCTCATACTAGACATCTGCCTGGACAACCCGGACGTGTGAAACCAGGCGTCTCGCTCGAGACATCCTCAAGATTTGGGCACGTGAAAACAAGTATTTCACTTGAGAGATCCTCTGAACTCTGGCCTCCAGGAGATGACAATCTATAACAAACCCAGCGTTTCGCCCGAGACATCCTCAACAGTTTCTGCAACACAAGCGTTTCGCTCGGGACATCCTTAAATTTTAATTCGCCGACTTTAAACGGAGAAGGTTAAAGGCGAGATGTATATCGAGCATGCACCGCGGCCGTGCCTGGCTCAAGCCGGGCCCGGCCTAATATGTGACTGTGCCTCACCGAGGCGCACGACTTGCATCTGAGATCGGAAAATACCTTTTCCATTGACGATGCCCCTTCTATCCTTTACTCCAGATCCCATGCTTCGTCTCGTTCTCTTGCTCATGCGATATGAGCCAAAGCCTGGGATATGCGAGCGCCTAAGGCGGAACATATATCTAAGCTTACCAGTGCGTTTTCGACTTGGTAGCGGAGCTGGCTACACTCTCGTGTGGCTGGCTCTCGCTCTGATTCCTGTAATCCACGGCACAACTTGGTGGACTACTACTACGGTGGAATACCATGTTGCGCCGGCTCTGCGAGGAGCGGAGCCAGTCCGCGATCGAGCTAGCGGGGCACCCGCGAGCTCGAGACGCTCTCTCCTACTTCACTGCGCTACTTCACTCCCGACTTCCACCAGATGCCAATCGGCAACTCGATCGAGAACGTGGTCACCCTGCGGGGCTACCCGCAGCGGGGCCACCTGCATCCCGTGCCGGTCAGGCGCCTCACGGCTACTACGCCAGAGCCTGACAAACCACAGCCTAAACCAATCACCGAAGCCGAGATGCACATGCACTGGATTAAGATAACTATCTTCGGCATTCTATGGGTGATAATGGGATGTGCTGTGGGATACATGCGGCAGGGGATGGACGACACGCGTACTACCGGCCCTTCGTGGGACCCAGCCGGTACTACGCCTTTTCGCGAATACGTTCGCGAAGTACATGCATGGATAAACGTAACGAGCGGCAATATGACGCCACCTCAGCAAGCTGCAGCACTACAACGTGGCCTTCAAGGCCTTGCTCGTCGTATCGCCATGCAGGTCCCCTCCCAGATCATCAACTATGGTGTAACTGTCAACGGACAGCCAGCGGATGCAGTTACTTATATTCTGTACCTATTGAGCACCAAATTTGAAAATCTGGAAGATGAGCGCCAGCTCAACTCTGGCACTGCCCCTATCGACTTTCGCGTCGAAAGGGGCGAGCGAATCGACTCAGTGTTAGCTCGATTCGAGATGGCCCGTGACGAGGCTAACTCTGTTGGCTTTGTCATCCCCAACTTTCAGATCCTAACGCTGATCCTTTTCAGAGCGTTAGGCGTTGGCGCGTCACGAGCCCAACACCTGCTGGAGCCCTTTAATCATCAGATGCCCAGAACACAAGCAGACTATGATAGGCTGCTGACCAGGATGAGGAACTACGGACATGTTGCCGAGCGCTCTCCTGGCAACATTGCGGGTATCTTCACAGGGCACCACTCACATGCAGGTGTCTACGCCACGACTGCGGGGTCACCCGCTGGTCCTGGCGAGCCAAGTCCCTGGGCTGACCCAGCCGATATGCCCAACGAGGCCACTGCCTTCTTAGGGCAGACCGGCCAGGCATCGGCAGAGGCAGCTGAGGCGAACGCCTGGTCGAACTACACGCCAGGCGCCGCCTACACTGCAAGCCCGCCCTCGGGCACAACCCTCTGGGGCCAAGCGGAGTCATCCGCTCAAGGGTCTCAGCCACCCTCACCGTTTGAATCTGGCACTGACACAGATACCTCATCTGACGATGAGCACAATGGCATAGTCTCTGCTGGTAATGACTATCCAGCTGATGACACTCACCTTTCTGAACAACAAAGAGCGGAAGCCGCTTTTATGGCTTATCGCAAATCAAAACGCCGTTGGAGGCGCTTTATGAAGAAACCAGTCAGAAAAGTGAGACGTGCAGCGCGCCGACATTTCAAACGATATGGAAAGGGTCGTGGCAAAGGGGGTCGCAGACGTCGTATGCATGGTAGGGGTATTACTGCTTTCCTCACGTCCTTAACTGATATAGTTTTTGAAGAAGTTCTTATCGGAGGCAAAGGTCGGGGTCACAGGCGGACCTCTGGTAAGGGAAAAGGGCGGAGGGGCAACCCTAGGGACGCTTCTGGCAATACTATGAAGTGTCATACATGCGGTAGTACAGAGCATTTGCGCGATCAATGCCCGAAAGGGAAAGGAAAGGGATCCGTACATTTGGCTCAGAACTCTTTTATGGATGACATAGACTACATTGACTACGAGTTTTACGTCAATCCAGAAGCGGCTCCCGCCGCGGGCTCCTCCACGTACTACGTGATGGCCCGCTGCGCTGAAGTGACCTTAGCCCTGGAAGAGCACGCGGTGACCCTCTTCGACGAGGTCCACGGCTGGGACGAAGTCGACGAGGTCGCGTTCAATGCCTGGTTCGGTCTTCCAGCGGGGCCACCCGCCGACGACGAGATCTCCGAAGCTGAGACCGTCCCGGCGACCGAGGAGGAGCTCGCCGCCGCGCTGGCACCGCAGGTGATTGGCATGCCGTTGCTGCCAGATCTTCCGCGAGCTGGCTCGGAAGCGGGAGACGCTGATGACGAAATGCGGGGCCATCCCGCTTACTCTGACTCTGAAGAGGCCGAAGAGGACCATGAGGACATGCTCCAAGAGCAGGTCGCAGAAGCAATCCAGCTCCTGAGTGCGCCAGCACATCAGCAGATGACCATGAAAGACCTGCTGTCGCGCCCAGGGGCCGCAAGGCTGCGTCCATACCTGGATTCGGACATGTCGGCACCTCAGATGCTGACAGCACTCCAGGTTCTAGCGGGGTCACCCGCCGAAGTGGCGCCAGCCGCAGCAGCGGGGCCACCCGCTTGGTCTATGGATGTATTCATGCAGGGCTGCGACCAGATGGACCTCAACGACCTCACGATGGAGCAGCTAAACGACATCGGGTACTTCCGAAGCCCGCATCAGCACGTATTCATGGTCCAGGACAGCTCAGAGGACTCGGAGGACATGCGCCATGCCAAGAAGAACAGACGACCATCGCCTCCCCGAGACTCAGAGCATGAAGATGAAAGGCCCATGGAACGTGGCAGTGCGTCAGCGGGGCCAGCCCGCAGGAGGAGCCGTTCAGCTCCACGACGCCCTACACATGATGCATCTGGCTACCCGTGCAG